CCCCAAAACCCCAAAACCCCAAAACCCCAAAACCCCAAAACCCCTAATAAAGTTTTAGGAATTGAGATTTTATATAAAAATGAGTAACTATTTCAAGCCTACTTTACAGTTGAGACCGATTCCTTCAAACCATAACACTAGCTGGGACACTAGTCTAAAGGATCACATCTCTGATGATTTTGGAAAGTCAACCTCATCGAAGAAAGGCAAGATAAATCTATTCAGCAGTCGTATCAAACGCACTAAATATGTATGTTTTTATTTTATAGTTATAGAACGCAATTATGAAGAACGATTCCTCCTTCGACTATACTCTTAAGCCATACTTGGAGTCTATTAGTCCAACAAAACCCAAAAGGATGGTCTTCAAGCCGAAGACAGTTAACAATGGTAGCACTATTAATGTAAAGGCAAAACCGCTTACAGGAAACGGTCATATTAGTACGCAAATCATCAGTCCTGACTTGATGATGGATAAAAGCAAGTCTGAGAAAATAGATATCTTCTTACCTCACAGAACAATGCAGGGCTTCCAGGCGTCCAAGAGAGGTACCCACCTAAGCTTCATTAAGGCTAACAAGGAAAAGTACTTTTCTTATAAAACTTCATAGATTTAGTAAGAAGAATGTCTTCCTACACGGCATCAGCTCTAACAGGATGTTTTCGAAATCTCCCGAACAGAAAGGTATCACCATATCTCATATTTTAGAAGTGAAACAGCATAAGAAGAACATCCTTTTTAAAGCTGCCAAGAAGGGGAATAAATAAGTTAGAAAATATGATAAACTCCCACTTGAACATGATAAGTAAGTTAGAATGAGTCACTCCCAAGACTGCACCTATTCTATGAAAGATCTGTAAGCTAGCTTTACCTTTGAAGCAGGAATAATCTTAGTAGGTGGTGTCAATAGCTCAGAGAAAACTTCCCCTAGTGTTGTGGAGAATATCAATGATGAGAGAGTACTCAACTTGTTAAAAGAAGTGAACACTCAGGATAAGTTCCGTACAATTCAAGACCCAGAGTTGGGTAATCTAGTGGCAATTAAGTTTATACCAATGTATCAGACTTCTGTTCATTGCCTTATTGTTAGTGTAAAAACTGAGGATATCACTAAGAAGGAAAAAGAGCAGATTCTTAACCACCTAGCGTTGATGAAGTCCTTACTTGAAATAATTTCAATATAAAATGAGCATTTAGGGGTTTTGGGGTTTTGGGGTTTTGGGGGTTTGGGGTTTTGGGG